CTGGACACAAGATGTCTCCTACTTCACTGTAAAGTCCATTCTCAGTGGATGTGCACTGGTGGCTTCAAGTTTCTACATCACACTGTACAAGTTGGACCAGGACTGACTTCCTAACTATTTGTAAAATCAGATGTTCAATGAGCACATAGAAACTTTCCACTTTCAGCAGATGTGGGACGAGAAGAAACACTGATTTTTAAAAGAGGAGGGGGGCTTTAAAATGAAAAACTCCCTACATTTTGGGTGAGGTAAAGTGTGTGCACAAGAGCAATGAAGAGCATGTCCGGGAGACTTGAGAAGAAGTAATCTAAAAATTGAAGAGGTCTGGTACAATTAAACAGCATTACAAGGTAATTTGTGAGATACTTTCACAAAATCTGTCCATAAGGGCCTTACATACTTAACCCACTGGATCCAGAATTTAATTTTTCAATTCAATTTTATTTGTATAGCACCAATTCAAGAAACCCCTTTATTTAAAAGGAAGAGAGAAAGTATTTTTTTTCCATAACATAAATGTCATTTACTGTATCTATACAATGTTACTTTTAAAGGTCCAGTGTGTAATATTTAGGAGGATCTATTGCCAGAAAATGAATATCATATTCATAGGTATGTTTTCATTAGTGTATAATCACCTGAATATAGTGTTTTTGTTACTTTAGAATGAGCTGTTATTATCTACAGAGGAGTCTGCCATGTTGAACTGGTGAACAGACTGGACAAACCAAACACTGACTCTAAATTGGGTGTTCCATGGCCACCGTAGTTTCTCACTTCACAACCCGTTCTCTTTTGCAGGTCGTCAAATACAGATACAAGCGGTGTTCAACTGATTGCAATCTGCAACTTCACCACTAGATTCCACTAAATCCTACACACTGGTCATTTAAGCAGCTCCTCTTTAACTGGGGTCCTGGAGGACCGAGGCTCACAAACATAACATACTTACCGGGGTGCCTGGGTAGCTTACCTGGCTCCTTGCTGTGGCCGTGGGTTCGGGTGCGACCTAGGGCCCTTTCCTGCGTGTCATCCCCCCTCACTCTCCCCCTTTCCTGTCTCTAGCTGTCACTATCTATTAAAAGCAATATATGTATATATATATATATATATATACTACTTAGGTACAATTCTGAGGTATTATACTTAACTTTGGTACTTTAATTTACTACTGCTACTCTCAAATATTGTACTTTTGCTCAACTCGAATTTATGATATATTTAGTTACTATGCAAATAAAATAGATTTTACACACAAAACATATGATCAACTTAATATATGATGAATTATATCATCTTATTAATTATCCACCATCATATCAGCCCTACGTTGGCTAGATAGAAGATTGATGCTGCTAATGTGTTCAGACATCAGGAATAATGTTCAAATAATGATTTATGTGAAAGGAAGCGTTCTGCTTTGATACTTTAAGTGCATTTTTCTGATAATACTTTTGAACTTTTTCTCAAGTGAAACCTTGAATGTGACGTTCATCAAAACTTTTGTCATAGTGATATTTTTATTTAGGTGAAAGATATGAGTACAACTTCCATCACTGGTGGGTTCTGTGGGACCCCGAACAATGAGGAAGTGAAGCCAGATTCAACAGAACACAAAGTTGCTACCGCAGCGTACACGCTAAGACCAGACTGAAGGCACAGAGCGGCGATCACACTCTGGTTAGTGACTGGAACCAACTGAATACTGCAGAGATTTTTGTCGCTGCCTTTGGAAGGAACCTCTGCAGCAGAGCTTCGATGAACTCTCGTCACAGTGCATTTACAGCGTGAGCCACTCTGTTGATGGATCTCTGGGACGGGGTCTGTATGGCACATCACATGCACAGGGGTGTCTCACTGTGCTTTACTAAAACCT